GTACCATACTGTACTACACTATACTGTACTATGCTATACTGTACCATACTGTACTATAGTATACTGCATTATACTGTGCTATACTATGCTACATTATATTGTACTGTATTGTACTATACTACACTGGACTATACACTACCATACATGGGGCACAGGTATGTCTCCTGTTAGTCAGGACAGAGCAGGATGGGTGACAATTCAGAGGAGAACACAATTCAAAACTTAAGCATTATTTATTTCTGTAATCTCCCATTTAATATTTCAAGTGGCCACAAGTAGCTAAATCCACAGAAGAGTGGAACTTGGGATACAAGGACTGAGACCATTAATTCATCTTGATTGTCAAGTCAACAGGATTTAAAATCACTATAGAAACAAACCTCTGAGTATATTTATGAGGGATTTCTAGATTACATTAACTGAAAAGGGAACCTTGGTCTGTATGTGGATGGCATCATGCCCTAGACTGGGCTCTTTAATTGAATGAAAAGGAGCTACAGAGGCCAGGCAGTGGTGTTGAACACCTTTCATCCTAGCACTTGGGAGGCAGAAACAGGTAGATCTCTGAGTTCAAGGCCAGCCCGGGCTACAGAGTGAGTTCAGGACGGCCAGGGCTACACAGAGAAACCCTGTCTCAAAAAACAAAAGCAAAAAGAGAGAGTAAGCTGATGGGCAGCATTCCTTTCTGCTTTCCCACTAAGGATGCCATGTGACCAGCTGCCTCAAGCTCCTGTGTTGTGGAATATTATTTTAACTGGACAAAGATGTGTTACATTCGTTTATGTTGCTGAATGTTACTTTAACTATGTGAAGGTGTGTGTGTGTGTTACATTTATTTTGCTGCATCTGTTTAATTATATAAAGATGCATTGCATTTGTTTCACCTTGCCTGCCTAAGGCACCTGATTGGTCTAGTAAAAAGCTGAACAGCCAATAGCTGTGCAGGAGGCAGATAGGCGGGGCTGCTGGGCTGAGAAAATAAATAGGAGAGAAGGAAGCTCGAAGAAGAGAATGAGGGAGAAAGAAAAGGAGATGCCTGGGGTCAGAAACCATGCAGCTGCCAGCCAGCCAGAGACTGGAGGACGCAGGGAAGTAAGACATACAGAAAGAAAAGTAAAAAGGCCCAAGGCAAAAGGTAGGTAAAGAGAAACAGGTTGAATTTAAAAAGCTAGCTAGAAACAAGGCTAAACTAGACAAAGAACTCTCAACTAATAAGAAGTCTCCATGTCATGATTTGGGAGCTAGTTGGTGGCCCAAAAGAAAAACCCTGCGACACTCCTGCTGCTGTGGATGCCACTCCTGCCTGCAGCCATGACTTCCCAACTGAGGATGCCATGTGACCAGCTGCCTCAAGCTCCTGCAGCCATGACTTCCCAACGGAGGATGCCACGTGACCAGCTGCCTCAAGCTCCTGCAGCCATGACTTCCCAGCGTGGAGACTCAGCCCCAACTCTCTTAGCCACCGAAGTGGCAGGGTTGGGATTTGAGGCTAGGAAGAACAGCTTGAACTCCATGTCCCAAAGCTGCCCTGAGAAATTTCTAGATTATTTTTTGTGGTCGCACTTGAATTTGTTTTCTGTGTCACCAATGACCACAAACAACATCTGGCTAACAGCTCACTGCTCTGTGGGCCAGAAGTTCGATGTGTTCATCAGGACTCTTCTTTGCAACTTGCAAGGCCAAAGGTGAGGTGGCTCCGAGTGAGACTCAGCCTCCGGACCATTTTGGTTGTGGGTAAGACTTAGGATCTTACGGTTCTCGGACTTGGTTCTGGTTCCTAGTTGGCAGATGCTCACACATAATCCCAGTGTACACAAGCACGCCTGATTGAGCAACCATGAGCCAAGAGTCCTGAGAGCCCAGGTGTCATGCTCTTCCTACGTCAACAGTTAACAAAAGAGGTAAATCCATCAAGTCGTGTTCCTGATGCATGAACTGCGGGGTAAGGCCTGTTGTTGGGTCTCTTCTTCATTTAACAAATCTACATCGAACTCAGCCCCAGAGCAGTGGGAATATATCCCTGTGGTGGTTTGAGAGAAAACGGCCCCCAAAGGGAGTGGCACTATTAAAAGGTGTGGCCCTGTTGGAGGAAGTGTGTCACCATGGAGGCAGGCTTTGGGGTCTCATATATGCTCAAGATTTGGTCAGTGTGACACTCAGACCACTCCCTGTTGCTCGCAAGATGTAGTACTCTCATCTGCCTCTCCATCACCATGTCTGCTTGCATGCTGCCGTGTCCCACTATGATGATAATGGACAGAACCTCTGAAACGGGAAGCTGTCACCTCACAGGTTTCTTTATGAGTTGCTGTGGTCATGGCGTCTCTTCACAACAATAGAAACCCTAACTAAAACACCCCAAAATGCACCACCAAGCAGTCACCAAGCCAGGCAAGCTCCTACTCTCCATCTCCCAGATAGCTCATGGCTGCAGTGCCTGCAGAGGGGTGTGTCCATCAAGGGACTGGCAGTCGGGACTCCCAGGGAGAGTTTGCCTTCAGTTACATGCTCCACAGTCCCTGTTTGCTCTTGTCCGACCCCTTGACTATTCATCATCACAGAAAGCTGATTCCTCAGTTTCCCGTGTGAGCTATATTTAAACAGAGACCATGGCTAACTTCTGTTTTCTAATGTCTTGGCCCAAACAAACTGAATTATGGAAGAACAGAGGCCTCCTACCTTCCTGATCCTGGGTGACAGCTTTTAAATTGACAGGGAGACCTCAGCAGGACCCCACATGTAGGCTGACCCTGGGAGGGCAAGGAGAAACTGGCATTCATAAGCTTTGTGATATCAGAATTGTCTTCTGAAAGCAGAGCATCCTCACCGCCTCCATCTGGGGCTTAAAATTCCCAAGAGCTTCTCATTACCTGCAGCTAAAATATGATTATGCACAGGCAAATGGCCTGATCCACTCTGTACAGCCTATGGCTGAATATTCTAATTAGTGTGATTTCCTTAGTATTTCCTCAGCCCCTTGATGTGAGTGCTTTGGGGACTTAAGTGATCTCCTGGCCCTCACCTGCCCACTCTTGTCAGCCCACATTCCATCTGAGTGTAGCAGCCTTGGAGAGCAGGAGCTTTTTAAAAATAAGTCATAGTTCTCGTGCATGTGCGTGTCTAGGGAAAGAACCTCCTCGACGGTCGGTCCTTCCATCTTCTTTGAGAGCCTCTTTGCTGTTCGTTGCTGCTGTGTGCCAAACTGGCCGGTCTTCAAGTGTCTGAGCATTCTTCTGTCCTGTACCCCATCTTTCCCATCTTACCACTGGGGGGCTGGAGTCAGACACTTGTACTAACCGTACAGGCTCTACGTGGCTTTGGGGGAATCTGAACTCAGGTCCTTGGGCTTAATTGTCAAGCACTTGACCCACTTTACCTTCTAAGCCATCTCCCTGGATCTGTGTATCTTAAAAAGTGTCTCCATCTCTCAGGGCCCCTCAGAGTGCAACATCCAGGGGCACATATAGGGTGTAAAGAGGGACCTCTTAGTTGGAATTTATCTCTTCTGTTCACACTCCTTAAAACACTGACTCCCAAATCCGGGATTCATTCGCTGATAAATATAGACAGTGTGCAGTTCTGTTTGAATGAGTGTCTGTCCCTCTCTTGACTCCTGGGAAAAGACCGCAGGCTTGGTGTGCGGCAGACACCTGTGATCCTAGCACTTGGGAGACTGAGGAAGGAAGACCTTGAGTCTGAGGCCAGCCTGGGCTGCATAGAGAGTTTAAGCCAACCTGGGCTACACGTTAAGACCTTATCTCCCCCAAACCCAAATGAACAAACAAAATCCATCACCAGGCTCCTCTTTGGCAACTCCAACAGAGCTGGCCAATGGAGTTTTATTTGCTTAAAGGCTTAATTGACATGGGGAGAGGCAGTGGCATTGGGTAGGAGTCACAGGCCTAGAGCTACAAAACTTTTGACTTCCACATCGGCAAACCTGCCCTACACACACACACACACACACACACACACACACACACACACACACACACACACACATCACACCAAGCCTGGTGTGAAGGGCTGTCTGACAGGCCCCAGCATGACAAACATAGCACCAACAGGTTTTGCCCTTTCCCCTTCCCTCTGTCTTGATAAAAACCGTTAGATTACATCCCTACAGCCAGCCCCTAAGGTCCATTCCCTTATTTAGCCACTAACTCATTCCTGAGACAAAACACCAAGGTCGAACAACCAAAATTCATTATGTGGCTAACATGTCCGATCAAGACTTACCAACTCACCCTAACAATACCTGCTGCTTGCTGTCTGCCTTTGCCCAATCCAGAGGCTGCCCCCCCACTCCCACCCCTTGCATGTGCAACTTGCCCCTCTGGGGTAATAATCTCCTTGGTGGTGCTGAGAACTTGGTGTCTGGGTGTGTCCTGTAGCAACTCCGGGGGGTTACCCTCCCTTGCATGGAGTCTTCTCCCAGGAACCAAGAGAGGGACAAGCATTGAGACAGAACTGTACAACGTATACATTTATCACCAAATGAATCCCAGATTTGGGAGTCAGTGTTAAAAGGAATGCGAACAGAAGAGATTAATTCCAAGGAGGGGGGACGCTGAGGTCCACTCCTCCACCTCTAAGGAGGGAGTTCAGAGCTAACATATGTTGTTTTCCCCGTGTGTGCACTGTGCACAGTGTGGGTCTGTACCATCTCATTTAACCCTCGCAAAAGCGCCAAGAGCTGCATTCAGCAATTACCAACAGTGTCAGCGGAGCGAAGCGAGGTCTAGGGGAATTTTGTACTTGCCCAGGTTATACCGGTGGCAAGGTGGGAGAGAACCCAGACACAGGGAATAGCTTTCCATCAGCAGAGAGACATTCTCCAGAACTCCGTAGGACCAAGTCCAGCTCCCTTCCCACCCTAGCCTATAAGCGCAGTGGTTCAGGGATAGAGATCTTCAAGACTGGAAAAAAAAAATAAAGCTTTTTTTTTAAAAATTTATTTTAAATTTCAATATTAGCAACTGAAGCGCTGCCTGGGAACAGAGAAATGAGCTCTGGGCCTCTCCTGGGAGAAAGTGCTCATGGTTTTATTTGTTTTAATTTTCTCTCCTGATGAAAAATGTGCCGTGGTTAGAGAGGCGCAGAACAAACAGAGCGGTGACTGGTGTTTTCCAGTTTCCTTAGTGGATTCCACACCATTTGTTGTGTTCCAATTTCAATAGTTTCTACAGGGCTTCTTCTCCACAAAGCTGGGGTAGAACCAGGCTGCCGAGCGCCCTTCTTCTGTTCCCATGGGGCTGTGGCTGGGCTCTATCCAGGGCAGAGACTGCAGGAATTTTGCTGGGAAGGGGCCAATGGTATGACTCTGTGTCTGGATATATATCCTGGCCCCAGAGTGGGACAAGACAGATTTAAAACTCTACATGACAGCCCTCTACCCATATGGATAAATGGACCTGTGCCCAGCCATGCATCCTCTGTTGGGACAACTCTGAGGTCATTGCTTGCCTTTTCCCAGAATTCACCTTCCATAGGCTGTCTTGACAGAGCCCGAAACTGCCTCTCCCCCACCCCCATTTCTGTTACACATCTTTCCGCTCCCTTGAGCTTCTTTCTGTTCAAACACAGTTTGTACACTGTCTCCACTCAGGGGCTGCCTACGGGAAGCCCCAGGCTAAGATCTCAAAGAGGAGTCTTAGGCCAGAGAGCTCCAAAGGGGAAATCCAGAAGACATACCAAGGTTCAGAAACCCAGCCAAGAGCTGTGTCAATAACACGGGCCGGGAGAAGATTCAGAAAAGATGTGCCATGGCTAGGGTGGTTGTGATACAGTTGTAGATTGTGCATTTAGTATGCCAGGAAGCCCTGGGTTGAATTCACAAGAAAAACAAAACACCACCACCCAGAAACACAGGGTCTGGAGAAGTGGAATTTGTGGGTATCCTCACCTGCATCCTACCGGAAGTCGGAGGACCCTTCTCAGGAACGCACTACAGTTTGCTTCCGTTGTTCCTCTTCTTCCTGTGGGTAGGCAACTCTTCAGGAAACAAAATGTAAGAGCATGAGAGTCCTTAATAGAATCTGCAGTCTACGTGAGCTGGAGTAGGTCTAAACCAGACCCCAGAGTCCCCTAAACCAGGCTGAGCATTACTGACATGGGACACAGAAAACAGAGAACTATGGGCAGTGAGTTTGTACTGGTGGCAGAGACAGACATACATTTCTAGAATGTTCTTGGCAGCACATATTCAAGGTCCATTCATGATCTTCTGAACTTGCATACTCCTCAATCCTCACTAGGAATGTGCTTTCCCCAACCCATGCCACAGGTTCAGCACTCCAGCCCTCTCCTCCAATGCCCCCAGCCCTTTCCCTGCTTTCCTGGTAGAAAACCCATCTGGCACAGGCTCGTCGCATCCCCAACACCAGCTTCTAATACGAACGAGTCTCTCTAATGGCTCACCCTGTGCTAAGTGCTGTAAATCACCAGCATATTAAATTCTCATTTACACATGAGAAAACAGAAGTTAGGGAGGTGACAGTCGCCCAGCTCCAGTGCCGATCTGGGATCTGATTCCTGCCTGGGCTAACTGCTCCTGCAGCTCGGACTCTTAACCACCCTGGTCTTTCAATTTCTGGAGGCACACTGGGTGGAGGTCTCAACATCTGAGGTAGGTAATAATTTGAAACAGATTTTGGACTTCTAAAAATGCACTTGACAGTTTACAAAGCCTGTGAATACACAACATACAACAGAACCTTCCCTATAAGTCTGAGCCATACAGGGCAGGACGCATTAGGAAACCGTGCTCAGCATAGTATATACATGACAAGCCATGAGCTGTCCTGTCAGTCTTCTTTTAACTTGAGGAAACTGAGTCTCAGTTGAAGTGACCGGCAGAGACAGTCCAGAAGACAAGAGCTACATCTTGTGACTGCTTGTAGCTCCCCAGCTGCTAGCACATCCTTGCCGCGCTCTCATCTTCAAGGAGCCCCCTGATTTTTCTCTGGAATGCGCTGGGCTTTCAAAGATGCTTTATTCAGTACTAGAAGCCCAGTGGGGAAATCAGAAACAGGATGTCAAAAAATACAAAGGACTCAGGTTGCAATAATGCCGTTGGAATGCGCAACCAGGAAACATCCCTCCTTCTCTGGGGAGCTGGCCTGGCCTTTGCTGAGGCTTGAGAATGAGGTGAGGAAAACCCAGGCAAGCTCAATGGGACTGCGGGGGATTGGAAACCTAGGCCTGCATCCCAGGATGACATGCAGACACGGGCCATGCCTGTGGAGATGCGCCAGGAAGTCTGAATGATGACGCCAGGCCTAAGGAGCAGAGGGGTCTGCAAGCTGGGGGACTGTGGTCCTATTTTCCATCTTTAATTTGTTTGTGTGTGTGTGTGTGTGTGTGTGTGTGTGTGTGTTTCTGTTTTCATTTTTTTAAGTTAAAAGTTTTTCATTTTCCATTTTGAAAATGAATGGGCTCAATTGTACCAGAGGAGGAGATTTTGCCCCCACCCAGGGATATTTTTGGTTGTCATAACTGGGGACCCAGGAGGACGCTATTGGCATCTAGTAAGTAGAGGCCGGGGATGATGCTAAACGTCCCTCAATGCACAGGACAAACTGTCCAACCAAGTGTTGGGAGTGTCAGGGCTGCGTTACCTGATGTTACATCAATGTCACTGAATTACATCAAGCCCCGATCCACAATTCCTCCTCCCCTCCCCTTCCCTCCTCCCCCTCCCCT